TATTATCCAATTATTGGTACACAAAAAGAAAAGACACGCCTCATCAAGCAGGCAAGCCAGGCCGATGAAAATCAAAGACAGGCACACGATCACAAAAAGCTTAATAGGTTGTCAAGTGCCAGCATCCTATGAAGAAAATAAGAATACTTCCATCTCTGCCTCCAGTACTTGACATATCATAGAATCCAAAATGAACTTGACTATTCTCCGTAAAAGCCACTACTCAAAGCCATTCGATCTCGGAATCCTTGGATATCTATAATACTGCCATACCCTATAGATGGATATTCGAAGGATGTCAATTTCAATGTCGTTTCGCTTCTCGATGTTGTCGACATCTTCCAAACTGATACATTCCCTCATGGACTGCAACATTCTCAGACCCAGACATTTCTACTGCCATGAAATCCATGGAGACCTTTGTTGCTGCTGAGAACCATTGTGTACACAACGGAGGTTTTCAGAACATACTCTTCTGTGCTGTTTCACACTTCCAGCGCATTTAGCATCCTTGGAATCATATGCAATCCATCATGAACCACAAGGCTCTGAATACCATATATTTCTTGATCATTTACAATCTTTCATCAGCTATCAAAGACCTATACTAACAACAGTCGCTGCCAGGATATCACAATTTGAACAGGTTGCCACTTCGAATTCCTTTGGATTCCCAGCAATCTGATACAATCCATCATGATCCATCATATTCTCCTTACACCATATTCTTTCCTGTCATCGCACGATTCGAATATGTGGTATCCCCCAACACCTTCATAGTCACCAAAGAAAGTTACTAGGATACCTCAATTTACAATGTTTCCATCTTCAGCATCTTTTGCAATCCTTGGAATCTGCTAAAATTCATCATAATCTACAATATTCTGCATGTCAGACATTGTTTCATTCCATCGACTCCGTGGACTCCTTCCTATCCACCAAAAGCCCAACGGTGACCATAGGGGTCTTATGCAGGTCTAGATTAGCATGGGTTTCCACTTCAGGATCTTCTAGACTTCTTCGAATCTGATAGAATTCATCATGATCTACACTATTCGAAATACCAGACATTTTTTATATCATAGAATCCTTGGTATCCTCTCAAAGTCCTATCGTGCCCAAAAGGAGTTTCAAAGAGGTCCAGCGTTGCATGGGTTCACACTTCAGGATCTTTTGAAATCCGTGGAATCTGATAGAATTCATCATGATCTACAATATTCCCAATACCAGACATTGTTCCCTAGACTGAAAGACTAGGGCCTAGAAACGGAAATTCACCTGTGTCTGTCTGTAACACTTCGTACAAATGACCATTTTTGTGGTACAAGTGACCATTTTCGTGGTATAAAGTACCATAGTCGTGGTACAAGTGACCATTTTCATGGTACAAAAGTACCACTTTGCTGGTGCAGGGGACCATTTATTTGACACAATTGGCCATTTTCATTAGACAGATGACCGTTTCTATGGCTCAAATCAGCATTTGCACGCCACAATCAACCGTTTTTATGGCACAATTAACAATTCTTATGGCTCAAATGAGCGTGTCTGTGTCACAATTGGCCATGCCCGTATTAGAAATGGCCATTACTTTGGCATACATCACAATTTTTAGTCGTTATAATTAACTAAAGCATAAACTTTATCATATACATTTGCATCTTTCAATATTTTATCTGAACTATTTGTATATCAAAGATGGGATCGGTTGGCATTTTTGCCAAACCGAACCGGCCGTAACCGAAAAAATCTCTAACCGAACCGAACGTAACCGACCGAATCTCAAAAATTTCCTAATCGAACCTAGTTTAGAGAAAGCGAAGTTTAGCTTTTGTTAATCAGGGTACTAGTGCTTTATAAATTAGCAACATCAAATCAAACAATAGCAACTACCAATAATGAACATTTAGAAAAAGCAAAGAATAAGGCTTATTTATTGGATCTTCTTACTGTATTGTAACTTCCTTACCTCTCAGGACAAATTTAAAAAAATATGTGATATAATCCGCGTTACGAGCAACACCTAATTGTTGCACGATTATATTATTTTTTCTTCTTATGTTCCACTAAAAAAAGTCCATTGAACTCAAATAAAACGATTATGTCGATTCTCTCTAACCGAACCGAATATAACCGACCGAATATTTCAAAATTTCAAATCGAACCGACCGTAACCGAAAAAATCTCTAACCGACCCGAATGTAACCGACTGAAGTTTTTCAAAATCTCCAACCGAATCGATTTCGCTTACGGTCGGTCGGTTAAAAACCGAACCGATCCCACCTCTGTTGTACATATCTATAGTATGTAATATAGAATGTATCACAAAGATTAATAATTTCTCCTAAACACATCATTATACACAGTTCATTTTTATTCAAAAATATAAGGACATACTTGTCATCATTTCTCAGTCTAGGGCCAAGTGAATCGACATTCAATGTCGATGAACGTTACTTGTTTTATATTATGGAATCCTTGGAATCGGTGATATCCTCTGAAAGTCTTAGAGTGGCCAACATGGGTCTCAAGGAGGTACAGAGTTGCATGGGTTCCCACTTCACGATCTTTTGGAATCTTAAGAATCTGATAGAATTCATCCTGATCTACAATATTCGAAATGCCACACTTCGTTTTGTATCATGGGACCCTTCGTATCGTGTGAAAGTCCTACGGAGACAATAGCGTTTCAGGGAGGCCCCAGAGTTGCAAGGGTTCCCACTTCAAGATCTTTTGAAATCCTCCGAATCTGATAGAATTCATCATGGTCTACATTATTCGAAATGCCAGACTTTGTTTTGCAACATGGAATCCTTGGAATGCTTGGTATCGTGTGAAAGCCCTATCGAGACCATAGGGGTTTTACAAGGTCCAGAGTTGCATCGGTTAGCACCTCACGACCTTCTTGAATCGTTTGAATATGATAGCATTCATCATGATCTACAATATTTCAAATGCCAGATTTTGTCTTGTATCATGGAATCCTTGGAATCTTTGGTATCGTGTGAAAGTCCTAAGGAGACCATAGGGACTTTAAGCAGATCCACCGTTGCATGGCTTCCCACTTCGGGATCTTTTGGAATCCTTTGAATCTGATAGAATTCATCATGATCTACTATATTCGAAATGCCACACTTTGTTTTCTGTCATGGAATCCTTGGCATCTTTGGTATCGTGTGAAGGTCCTATGGAGACCATGGGGAATTTTATGATGTCCACAGTTGCATGGGTTCCCACTTGGGGATATTTTAGAATCGTTCAAATCTAATTGAATTCATCATGATCTACTATATTCGAAATGTCAGACTTTGTTTTCTTTCATGGAATCCTTGGAATCGGTGGGGAAAATCCAAGGTTTCCGTTTTGAGGAAAGTCAGCCAGGTCTCCGTAGTGTTTTGTTGTTTCCGTTTTTATGTGTTTCGAGGTTTCCTATTATAGAATGTGTGTTTTTACATCTAATTAAGGTTAGTTTTATTTATTCGTTAACAATCTAATTAGAATATAGTGTTAATTAATGATTACTTATGTTAATTAATTAATTAATTAATGAATTGGGTGAGTCATTTATGAAAATTGTTTAGAACGTTATTTGTATGTTTTAGGGTTCACTTTGGATTGGATTGAAGTTCGAATTTTTGGACTCTAGCATTTCCGTTATCGACGACATAGAGATTACCGTGTCGATCGAATGACAAACCGAAGGGCCAACTGAGTTGGTTCGATTGTTCTCCTCTACCGTTTCCACCAACAATGACACTTCCTTGTGTGGCTCCTTTAGGCCAACGCATGATTCGATTATTCCCCCAATCAGCCACATAGACAGTGCCCAATTGATCGACAACGACTCCTTGAGGACAAGACAATTGTGTAAGACCATTTCCTTCTCCTTGACCACCAGCCACGACAATGCCTTGTTTTGCACCTTCCATCCATTTCATCACACGATGATTCCTCCAATCAGATACGTACACTGAATGATCTTGATTGACGAATACGTATGAGGGGTAAGAGAGTTGATCGAGACGATTTCCACGTCCATTGCCACCTGCAACCACTGTTCCTTGAGATTCTTCTCTTCGATATCGTCTCACTTCATTTTTTCCAAAGTCAATGACATAGAGAGGTCCATTCTCGTCCATTGTCAAACCCACACAAGCGATGTTGGAGATGATTGTTTCTCCACTTGTCGCATTTCGACGAGGCCATCGAACCACTCTTCCATTCGAATAATCGCATATGATGAGACTATCTCTCTCTTTGTTGATAATCACATCTCTTGGGTTATCCAATTGATGATCTCCACTTCCTTGTCCATTTCCACCGGCAACCACTTGGCCACTTGTTGCACCTTGTTTCCATTCCACAATACGATGGTTCAATGAATCAGCAACATAGATTGTTTGATCATTATCAACATACAAACCGTATGGGTCTGAGAGTTGATTGATTCCATTGCCTTGTCGATTTCCTCCAGCCACAGTGATACCGTTTTGTTGCCATCGAGCATTCGGATGAATGTTGGTGCTGGATGGAAAACGTAATGGATAGTCTAAAATAGAGACAAGAAATATTATTAAAATAAGAGAGAGAAAGTTTCTCTTCATAGAAATTGGATTTTGTTACAAGGCGAGAAACCTTTTTTAGTCAAATTCGCAACTTTGTCAACAACAATTATTTTTTTTACTCTTTTTTTTTTGTTTATGTTTACTATGATAGAGATGTAAGAGAAAGGTGAAGACATTGAATGAGAAGTATGGGTTTTCTTCTATGATTTTGCAACTAATTCATGTATAAAAATCATGTAATGATCAAACTAGTTTTTGGATATGTTACGGATCATCTCTTTCTTGGAAGCACGTCTTTTATTAAATTGTATTGTTAATCAGTTCAATCTTTAATTACTAAATAAGATTACAAGAATTATTTTGCATAGTTTATCTTTTTATGATAAAATTATCAGTAGAAATAATCTCAAGATAAACATTGCTGATCTATGAAAAGTCTCTCGAATTTTCAAACATTATTCTATGAAATATATGACATATTTCTTGTTTTACTGTATTTGCAATTATCTCATCAAATTGTAAATGCGAGAAACATTTAACGTTCATCTGTGTAACTCGCTTTATCCTCGACTAAATATTCGGCTCGGTCGCTATTTTATACTTCTTTGTAGCTCTCAACAAAGCTATTATCCAACATTTGAAAAAGCGTGTGTGTGGATGCTGGTACTAGTATCAAGCTTATTGTGCATGATGGTATGCCTGTCTGTGTGAGGATTTTTGTCATAAATTCGTCTCATCAAACTGATACCCACATATCGATACTCAACAGAAATCTAAATGAACTACACACACTAGAAAAAAGAGATTATATTCAATTTACGGAAAGGATCACGAAGCAAAAGGGGAATCGACTGATTTAAATCAGCTAAAACTCAAAATTAAATCCATTAAATCATCTGAACTCATTTTAAATCACATAAATCAGCTTAAACTCATTGTAACTCAGCATAAATCATTTTAAATCAGTGGCTTTAAAAAATTCTTACAGTCGAAAGATATACTCGAACTTTATATTTTTGTTCAATCACTATTTATGTTTTTTTCAAATTATTTAATTAAAATCAAAAAATTCATACTAGCACACAGTCATTGGATATTTTCTTTATATCTTATAGCGTAGAATATATTTCTCTCTGTTCTACTAATGTAGGAAAACATGTGATACAGTTCACAATAAAATATCCTCACGAATGCTTTTTTCATTCTTATATAACTAGACTAGAATAAAAAAAACAGACAAAGAGAAAATTCAATCCACCTCGTGTATCTACACTGAAATGAAGCGATTCGGAATTTATATTATTTTTTTTTCCTGTTGTCGTTCTTTAGATCGATTATTTTCATCTGACCATCTTTGAGACAATAACAAATTTTTGTTTCTCTTTAGTTTTACGAATTCGAGAACCATATTCATAACTAAACCAAATAATAGTATTCAGTCAAATACAACGTAAAATATTATAATGCATATCAAGCTAAGTTCAAGCGTCCACCTTTATGGATTTCTTCAAACATAGAAGAACTCAATTCGTCAGAAATCAGTTCACAGAAAATTCAATAGTGAACTATTGTAGAAAGCATGATCAATTAAGAGAACAACATATTTACAGTTCTCATTCTATTAGAGAAAAGAAACAAGATATTATTATTGATTGTAATAGAACCCTATATTAATAATATTTCATTATTAATCCTTTAGTTATTAATGCACTGATTCATAATGTTCTATGGCGTATGCAGATATAGATTTATATATAAATACTTCTTTAATAACAGATTCTATTTTTCTGTGATCTTGTAGGTAATTATAAGCTTGACTATAATCAACATCAAGAATTTAGTTTAGAAATTTCAGGTTTTCTAATGGATTTAACATATGAAACACTCTATTGGGATGGAAATTTTATCAGGAATAAATTACTAGAAGAAACCGTAACGTTTTTCGAAGTTAGAAAGGCAGCTTATTATTCTGCTCTTTTATTGTACAACATTTTTTTAAAATAATTCTATATTTCAGATGGATTTTCTTCTTTCAGCTAATGCACTGTCACTTCGTGGAGATCCTTTTTACTACTTGGTAGAATATTTTTGTGGTAAAGAGGCCTTCGAATTACTTAAATTTCAGCTGATCGATTCTTCAATGGATTTGATTGAAGTCGATGATGTTTTCTTCATTCTTCAAATCGAATCAACTCAAACAACATCAATCAAAGAATTTTTGAGTATTCCAAGCAAAAACAATTTAGGAAACTATTCATTTTTCGTTATGCCTGGTATTCGCGCGAAACTCGAAAAATTTATTCGTTCGCTGCATCCTCTTCTTTCATCTACTGATCCTTCATCGTCAGTAAACATCAAGCCTTTAACAATTTCATCTGAACTTCTTCAGCAATATCCGTTCTTATTAGATCTAATATATTGTCTAGAAAGACATTTATTAACAGCTTTTTCATTGGATTTTATATCAAATATGTTATCAAACATCATATGTTCAAAAAATGCCTTTCGCTATGAACAATCGATGAAAGAATTCGCTGCCTCCCTATACATTCTAGGAGGCCGTACAGTTTATGAATTCATTCGGTTGAATATTCCAGGATCGATTCCTAGTTTTAGTATTTTACGATCAATTTTGATAACTTCTAAAAAGCATTTCATTGAAGGTGAATTTCAATATGAACGTTTTAAGGACTTTATTGATTCATTCGACTGTAAGTACGCATTCTGTGGAGAAGACAGTACTGCGGTGGTACCAAAAGTTTCTTCTGACTCACGTTCGAACTCTTTTTTTGGGTTTAACTTGTCCACGCTACTTTTCTACCAGTTCATTTGGTGAACTTGAAACTTGGTATGAAGAAATAGACAAATCATCTCTTATCAATGTACATGTGATTCAACCAATATGTCCTATCGGTCAAATATCACCACCGCCATTCCTTCTTGCTGCTTACGGTACCAACAGTAAATATACAGCTAAAGATGTTCTCGATTGATGGTCAAGTATTTTTGATTCATGTATGAATTAAAATATTCGAATTTTAGGCTTCTCAGCAGATTGTGATCCAAAACAAATGAAAGCAATGCGGGACTCCATGGGATTTGAAGAACATCCTAATCGTTTCGAAATTTCTTTACTTAGAGTGAGTGACCAAGTATAATTAGTTTCATATGAAAAAGAAAATCAATCGGGATTCGAGTAAACGATTATAATTGTACGGATTGATGATTTTCTTCATATTACTTAGAGGATAATAAATGTCTTCGGTGTCTATTTATAGGTTGACGAAGTATTTCTTCTCATATAAATCTATTTTATTTCTTGAGAATTAAAAATAATACAATAAATACTTTCAATTATCGTTCTTAGAAAAAAAAATCTGAAAATATCTTTCATCAGCTATCACCTATCATTGAATTTTTCGGAAAACAATATTAGTATTCCAGTACAATAAAAACAATGTTCAAGCACATGAATTTATTCTCATTCTTGCTTTCCATTGTTTAGAAAACTTCATGTTTTTTTTTGAGATCCTCACAGCTATTTGTATGTTTATAAGATGCGCCACATTTATGTACTAAGCTGCGCAACCGTCTTTTGTCTTCAAAAACAATTTTATTAATAGGGAAAAGGTATGCCAGCATTAAACATCTCTTGGAATTGATTGAGAACCATTCAAAGATCGATCATGGATTAGCCATATCAGATGTTTGCCCAAAGGACAAACAAAATTATTCATCCTGCGAAAAGATCACGAGTGATGCTGTTTTTTCTTCTATTAAAAATGTTTCGAATTCTCAAGCAACCCACGCTTATCTACAAGTAATATTTTTTGCTTTTTCTAAGTACGGAGTCGTTAGGTATGATATAATCGAGGTAGTTCTCTTTCAAAATATTATGTATGACATAACGAAAGTTGTTTAAAAGTTTTCGCTACCTCATTACTGAGTACTGCTGAACGGTCAAATTTTATTAATTTCATTTTGATAGGTCATAAAATGTGTTCATTTGGCCTTTATCGACAAAAGCACTAATATAATTGATCGTCTTTACTATGCTTGATGTTCAGTTTTTATTATACGGATCTGGTCTACGTGGTTACACGAGACAGCAGCTGATGAACTTAAGGAGAGAGCTTCGAATTTGCTCTCAAGTGACGCTGGTAGAATTATTCCAAAAAAGAGCTTCTTTATCACAGTACCTGCTCTTTTCTCACTCGAACTGAATGCACATAGCCTGATGTATCTGGTTGTTCTGTGGACTGAACAGAAAATTACTGAAGAAGCATTAAATGTTTTTTTATGTAATTCACAAGTATGCGAAAGTACTTTCCGTGCAGCTCGTTCGATGTCCGGTCCATTTTCATCTGTGGTGAACTTTACTGTTCACGAGTTTCTTCAGCGTGTCGAGAAACTCGCTGTTCTTCAAAGTGTCAAGTGTTCGTCTGAATCCAAGAACAATAATATTAGATTTCACAAACATCACAAACAATCTAAACAACATTTTCAAGTACACTCAACGTCTACAATATCAACTACGATTACAGAACAATTGATTGAAGAAACAGTTTTTAATGCTTACATTAAAGCTAGTCAGATTCTATCTCAATGTGAACTTTCTATTGTTAATCCTCATGATATGATGCAATCTTTTGAAGAAGTGAATAATTTAGCGTACAAAAGTTTATTAAGATCAATATGTACAACCTCCAATAAAAATTCTTCTGAATCATATGATTATGAAGACGACAATGAGGGCGATGGTGAAGATCAGGATGCAGATGAAGAGGAAAACGAAAATGATGATAATTGAAAACATCAACCTAACAAGGAATCTATTGAGAATGATATCACGAATGAAAATGATGAACTAACGTCAATGGATGAATTTGGTCTTGATTGTCTTCCAAATGTATCTAGTTCCACCATTCGAGGGATGCGTTTATTCGATTCTGTCAATAGTAATCAATCAGACTCTTTCTTTTCCGTTGAGGTCAATGGTCGTATCAAATACATGCACAAACAGACTGCAAACTGGTA